ATATATTTCATTATATATGTATACATATACATAAATATAATGAAATACTACTCATCCATAAAAAGGAACGAAATAATGTATTCACAGCAAACTGGATGGAGCTGCAGATGATTAACCTAAGTGAAGTAACTCAGGAACGGAAAACAGAAGATTGTATGCTCTCACAAGCGGGAGCTATGCTATGAGGATGCAAAGGCATAAGAATAATATAATGGGCCAGGCACGATGGCTCATGCCTGTAATCCTAGCACTTTGCAGGGGTGAGGTAGGTGGATGAATGACTTGAGGTCAGGAGTTCAAGACCAGCATGGCCAACATGATGAAACACCATCTCTGCTAAAAATACAAAAATTAGCCAGGTGTGATGGTGCACGCCTGTAATCCCAGCTGCTTGGGAGGCTGAGGCAGGAGAATCGCTTGAACCTGGGAGACAGAGGTTGCAATGAATCAAGATTGTGCTGCTGCACTCCAGCCTGGGTGACAGAGCAAAACTCTGTCTCAAAAAAAAGAATGATATAATGGGTGCAGTGTACACTGCTCAGATGATGAGTGCACCAAAATCTCAGAAATCACACCTAAAAAAATTATCCATGTAACTGAACACAATCTGTTCCCCAAAAACTATTGAAATAATAATAATAATTTTAAAAAAGAATGTAGTAGGCTTGCCATCTATTTCACTTCTTTTTTTATTTTTTTTAATTTTTTTATTGCATTTTAAGTTTTGGGGTACATGTGAAGAACATGCAAGATTGTTGCATAGGTACACACATGGCAGTGTGATTTGCTGCCTTCCTCCCCATTACCTATATCTAGCATTTCTCCCCATGCTATCTCTCCCCAACTCCCCACCCCACACTATCCCTCCCCTATTTCCCCCCGACAGATCCCAGTGTGTGATGCTCCCCTCCCTGTATCCATGTGTTCTCATTGTTCAACACCCCCCTATGAGTGAGAACATGCGGTGTTTGATTTTCTGTTCTTGTGTCAGTTTGCTGAGAATGATGGCTTCCAAAGAACACGAACTCATCGTTTTTTATGGCTGCATAATATTCCATGGTGTATATGTGCCACATTTTCCTTGTCCAGCCTATCATCAATGGGCATTTGGGTTGGTTCCAGGTCTTTGCTATTGTAAACAGTGCTGCAATGAACATTCTTGTGCACGTGTCCTTATAGTAGAACGATTTGTAATCCTTTGGATATATACCCAGTAATGGGATTGCTGGGTCAAATGGAATTTCTATTTCTAGGTCCTTGAGGAATTGCCACACTATCTTCCACAATGGTTGAACTAATTTACACTCCAATCAACAGTGTAAAAGTGTTCCTATTTCTCCACATCCTCTCCAGCACCTGATGTCTCCAGATTTTTTAATGATCGCCATTCTAACTGGCGTGAGATGGTATCTCAATGTAGTTTTGACTTGCATTTCTCTGATGACCAGTGATGATGAGCATTTTTTCATATGTTTGTTGGCCTCATGTATGTCTTCTTTTGTAAAGTGTCTGTTCATATCCCTCGCTCACTTTTGAATGGGCTTGTTTTTTTTCTTTTAAATTTGTTTTAGTTCTTTGTAGTTTGTGGATATCAGCCCTTTGTCAGATGGGTAAACTGCAAAATTTTTTTCCCATTCTGTTGGTTGCCGATTCACTCTAATGACTGTTTCTTTTACTGTGCAGAAGCTATGGAGTTTGATTAGGTCCTATTTGTCTATTTTGGCTTTTGTTGCCAGTGCTTTTGGTGTTTTGGTCATGAAGTCCTTGCCTACGTCTATGTCCTGAATGGTTTTGCCTAGATTTTCTTCTAGGGTTTTTATGGTGTTAGGTCTTACGTTTAAGTTGTTAATCCATCTGGAGTTAATTTTAGTGTAAGGTGTCAGGAAGGGGTCCAGTTTCTGCTTTCTGCACATGACTAGCCAGTTTTCCCAACACCATTTATTAAACAGGGAATCCTTTCCCCATTGCTTGTTTTTGTCAGGTTTGTCAAAGACCGGATAGTTGTAGATGTGTCATGTTGCCTCCAAGGCCTCTGTTCTGTTCCATTGGTCTACATCTCTGTTTTGGTACCAGTACCATGCTGTTTTGATTACTGTAGCCTTCTAGTATAGTTTGAAGTCCAGTAGTGTGATGTCTCCCACTTTGTTCTTTTTGCTTAGAATTGACTTGGCTATGCGGGCTCTCTTTTGGTTCCATATGAAGTTTAAGGTGGTTTTTTCCAGTTCTGTGAAGAAGGTCATTGGTAGCTTGATGGGGATAGCTTTGAATCTGTAAATTACTTTGGGCAGTATGGCCATTTTCACGATATGATTCTTCCTAACCATGAACATGGAATGTTTCTCCGTCTGTTTGTGTCCTCTCTTACTTCGTTGAGCAGTGGTTTGTAGTTCTCCCTAAGAGGTCCTTTAGGTTCCTTGTTAGTTGTATTCCCAGGTATTTTATTCTCTTTGTAGCAATTGTGAATGGCAGTTCCTTCTTGATTTGGCTCTCTTTAAGTCTTATTGGTGTATAGGAATGCTTGTGATTTTTGCACATTGATTTTGTATCCTGAGACTTTGCTGAAGTTGTTTATCAGTTTCAGGAGATTTTGGGCTGAGACGATGGGGTCTTCTATATATACAATCATGTCGTCTGCAAATAGAGACAATTTGACTTCCTCCTTTCCTATTTGAATACACTTCATTTCTTTTTCTTGCCGGATTGCTCTGGCTAGAACTTCCAGTACTATATTGAATAGGAGTGGTGAGAGAGGGCATCCTTGTCTAGTGCCAGATTTCAAAGGGAATGCTTCCAGTTTTTGCCCATTCAGTATGATATTGGCTGTTGGTTTGTAGTAAATAGCTTTTATTATTTTGAGATACGTTCTGTCAATACTTAGTTTATTGAGGGTTTTTAGCATAAATGGCTGCTGAATTTTGTCAAAGGCCTTCTCTGCATCAATTGAGATGATCATGTGGTTTTTGTCTTTGGTTCTGTTTATGTGGTGAATTATGTTTATAGACTTGTGTATGTTGAATCAGCCTTGCATCCCCGGGATGAATCCTACTTGATCATGGTGGATAAGCTTTTTGATGTATTGTTGTAATCGGCTTGCCAGTATTTTATTAAAGATTTTTGCATCTGTGTTCTTCATGGATATTGGCCTGAAGTTTTCCTTTCTTGCTGAGTCTCTGCAGGGTTTTGGTGTCAGGATGATGTTGGTCTCATAAAATGATTTGGGAAGGATTCCCTCTTTTTGGATTGTTTGGAATAGTTTCAGAAGGAATAGTACCAGCTCCTTTTTGTATGTCTGGTAGAATTCGGCTGTGAATCCACCTGGACCTGGGCTTTTTTTTGAGTGGTAGGCTCTTAATTGCTGCCTCAACTTTAGACCTTGTTATTGGTCTATTCAGGGTTTCGACTTCTTCCTGGTTTAGGCTTGGGAGGAGGCAAGTGTCCAGGAATTTGTCCATTTCTTCCAGGTTTACTAGTTTATGTGCCTAGAGTTGTTTGTAATAATCTCTGATGATGGTTTGAATTTCTGTGGAATCTGTGGTTATATACCTTTTATCATTTTTTATTGCATCTATTTGATTATTCTCTCTTTTCTTTTTTATTAATCTGGCTAGTGGTCTATTTTGCTGATCTTTTCGAAAAACCAGCTCCTGGATTCACTGATTTTTTGAAGGGTTTTTTGTGTCTCTGTCTCCTTCAGTTCTGCTCTGATCTTAGTCATTTCTTGTCTTCTTCTAGGTTTTGAGTTTTTTTGATCTTGCTCCACTAGCTCTTTCAATTTTGACGATAGGGTGTTGATTTTAGATCTCTCCTTGCTTCTCATGTGGGCATTTATTGCTATATATTTTCCTCTAGAGACTGCTTTAAATGTGTCCCAGAGATTCTGGTATGTTGTGTCTTTGTTCTCGTTGGTTTCGAAGAACATCTTTATTTCTCCCTTCATTTCATTGTTTATCCAGTCAACATTCAAGAGCCAGTTGTTCAGTTTCCATGAAGCTGTGCGGTTCTGAGCTAGTTTCTGAATTCTGAGTTCTAACTTGATTTCACTGTGGTCTGAGAGAATGTTTGTTATGATTTCCGTTCTTTTGCATTTGCTGAGGAGTGACTTACTTCCAATTATGTGGTCAATTTTAGAGTAGGTGCAATGTGGTGCTGAGAAAAATGTATATTCTGTGGATTTGGGGTGGAGAGTTCTGTAAATGTCTATTAGGTTTGCTTGGCCCAGGTCTGAGTTCAAGTCCTGAATAACCTTGTTAGTTTTCTGTCTGGTTGATCTGTCTAATATTGACAATGGGGTGTTAAAGTCTCCCACTATTATTGTGTGGGAGTCTAAGTCTCTTTGTAAGTCATCAAGAACTTGCCTTATGTATCTGAGTGCTCCTGTATTAGGTGTGTATATATTTAGGATCGTTAGGTCTTCTTGTTGCATTGATCCTTTTACCATTATGTAATGTCCTTCTTTGTCTCTTTTGATCTTTGTTGGTTTAAAGCCTATTTTATCAGAGACAAGAATTGCAACTCCTGCTTTTTTTTTTTTTTCCTCTCAATTTGCTTGGTAAATCTTCCTCCATCCCTTTATTTTGAGCCTTTGTGTATCCTTGCATGTGAGATGGGTTTCCTGGATACAGCACACCAATGGGTTTTGGCTTTTTATCCAATTTGCCAGTCTGTGTCTTTTGATTGTGGGGTTTATCCCATTTACATTTAGGGTTAATATTGTTATGTGTGAATTTGATCCTACCATATTGATGCTAGCTGGCTGTTTTGCCCGTTAGTTGATGCAGTTTCTTCATTGTGTTGATGCTCTTTACCATTTGGTATGTTTTTGGAATGGCTGGTACTGGTTGTTCCTTTCTATGTTTAGTGCCTCTTTCAGGAGCTCTTGTAAAGCAGGCCTGGTGGTGATGAAATCTCTGAGTACTTGCTTGTTCGCAAAGGATTTTATTTTTCCTTCACTTACGAAGCTTAGTTTGGCTGGATATGAAATTCTGGGTTTAAAGTACTTTTCTTTGAGGATGTTGAATATTGGCCCCCACTCTCTTCTGGCCTGTAGGGTTTCTGCTGAGAGATCTGCTGTGAGTCTGATGGGCTTCCCTTTGTGGGTAACCAAACCTTTCTCTCTGGCTGCCCTTAGCATTTTCCCCTTCATTTCAATCCTGGTGAATCTGACGATTATGTGCCTTGGGGTTGCTCTTCTTGAGGAATATCTTTTTGGTGCTCTCTGTATTTCCTGGACTTGAATATTGGCCTACCTTGCTAGGTTGGGGAAGTTTTCCTGGATAATATCCTGAAGAGTATTTTCCAGCTTGGATTCATTCTCTCTGTCACATTCAGGTACACCTATTAGATGTAGATTAGGTCTTTTCACATAGTCCCATATTTCTTGGAGACTTTGTTCATTCCTTTTTACCCTTTTTTCTCTAATCTTGCCTTCTTGTTTTATTTCATTGAGTTGATCTTCAACTTCTGATATCCTTTCTTCTGCTTGGTCAATTCAGCTGTTGAAACTTGTGTATGCTTCGTGAAGTTCTCGTGTTGTTTTTCAGCTCCATCAATTCACTTATTTTTCTCTCTTAAGCTGTTTATTCTCATCAGCATTTCGTCAAATCTTTTTTCGATGTTCTTAGTTTCTTTGCATTAGGTTAGAACATGTTCTTTTAGCTCACAGAAGTTTCTTATTACCCACCTTCTGAAGCCTTATTCTGTCAATTCATCACACTCGTTCTCCATCCAGCCTTCTTCCCTGCTGGTGAAGAGTTGTGATCGCTTGTAGGAAGAGAGGTGTTCTGGTTTCGGGTGTTTTCATCCTTTTTGCTCTGGTTTCTTCCTATCTTTGTGGATTTATCCACCTGTCATCTTTGTAGGTATTGACTTTCAGATTGGGTCTCTAAGTGGACGTCCAGTTTGTTGATGACGAAGTTATTACTTTCTGTTTCTTATTTTTCCTTCTAACAGACTGGCCCCTCTGCTATAGGACTGCTGAGGTCCACTCCAGGCCCTGCTTGCCTGAGGATCAACTGCAGCAGCTGCAGAACAGTAAGGGTTGCTGCCAGTTTCTTCTTCTGCTATCTTTGTCCCAGAAGGATACCCGCCAGATGTCAGTCTGAGCTCTCCTTTATGAGGTGACTCTTTGAATATACGGGGGTCAGGGAGCTGCTTGAGGAGACAGTCTGTCCTTTATAGGAGCTCAAGTGCTGAGCTGTGAGCTCCATTGTTCATTCAGAGCTGCTGGGCAGGTATGTTTAAGTATGCTGCAGCAGAACTCATAACCCCCCCCTTTTTTTCCCCCAGGTGCTCTGTCCCAGGGAGTTAGGGCTTTATTTATGAGTTTCTGTTGTGCTGCTGCCTTTTTTCAGGGCTGCCCTGCCCAGTGAGGAGGCAGCCTAGTTACTGTCTGCCTGCAGAGGCTTTGCTGAGCTGCTGTGGGCTCCACCCAGCTGCCGTGTGAACTTCTCTGCGGTCCTGTTTATACGAGTGTAGTTAGAACTGCCTCGGCAATGGTGGCCCACCTCTATAAGGGCGGACTCTCTCTGTAATGGCGGGCTGCCTCGGCAATGGCAGGCTGCCTCAGCAACGGCAAACTACCTCCATGGTGGTGGACTGCCTCAGTAATGGCGGATGCCCCTCCCCCACAGAGCTGGACCATCCCGGGTTTAGCTGTGCTTGCTGTGAAACTCTCAATCCAGAGCGTTTCCGATTGCTGTTTTTTTGTGGGGGGGTGGGACAAGCCAAGCCTGATCACCTGGCTCCCTGCTTCAGAACCTTTTTTTTTTTTTTTTCAGTTGAACAGTCGACTGTCTCCCAGGTGTTCCAGTCGCCTGGTGAAAAGGCACCAAGATCTGTGTGATTTCCTGCGCAGTGACCCACTGTGCCAGCTGAAACAGCAGAGCCGAGATTCCTGGTGCTTTTTTGCCTGGGAATCTCCTGGCCTGGCTCCCTGTTTCAGTCCCCTTTTTAATCAGATAAATGGGCAATTCTGCCTTCCTGGAGCTCCAATCGCCAGCTAAAACGGTGCCCAGACCCATGTATTTTGTATGGAGAACCGTCGCACCAGGGCACTGGCAAAACAGCTGCATCTGGCAAAGCAGCCACGCCGGCTAAACCAGCTGCACTGGCAACCCGTGGGGCTCCTCCGCCTGGGAATCTCCTGGTCTGTGGACAATAAAAATCCTTCTGGAAATGCAGCGTCCACTCACCCTCCGCACTTTCACTGGGAGCTGCAATCCTGAGCTGCTCCTAATCGGCCATCTTGGATCCCTCCCCATCTATTCCACTTCTAAGAACACCATAATTAATGGCCAATGCTGTAGTCTATAGAAGTCAATGTATTCTGATGGTTGCTCTGACTCTGCTGTTCACCGTGATAACTATGCTCACCTTGCCTTTGGCAGTTGAGTGCTGCCACTTGGCACATGCTACCCTGGGATCCAGTTACTCTCAAGGCATTTAATTTTACCAATTGAGTGACTGTGGTTCCTACTGCAAGGTCTGGCCTACAGAGAAGAGCAATCACAGAGCTTTTCAAGGATGTTAGGACCCCACTTAAAAATCTATGACTTGGAACCAATCCAAATGCCCATCAAGGATAGGCTGGATAAAGAAAATGTGGTACCTATACGCCATGGAATACTATGCAGCCATAAAAAAAGATGAGTTCATGTCCTTTGCAGTTACATGGATCAATCTGGAAACCATCATTTTCAGCAAACTGACACAAGAACAGAAAACCAAACACCACATGTTCTCACTCATAAGTGGGTGTTGAACAGTGAGAACACATGGACACAGGGAGGGGAACATCACACACTGCAGTCTGTTGGGGAGTGGGGGGCTAGGGGAGGAATAGCAGGGGGTGGGGAGATTGGAGAGGGATAGCATTAGGAGAAATACCTAATGTAGGTGACAGGGAGTAGGGGATGGAGGCAGCAAACCACCATGGCATGTGTATACCTACGTAACAATCCTGCAAGATCTGCACATGTACCCCAGAACTTAAAGCATAATAATAAAAAAAAAGTATATATTTCTCAAAGTATTGGTGAAGGGTGTATCTTCTGAACTCTTCCAAAGTGGGTAAGTAGGTCTTAAATGACAAATCTACCCTAATTACATTCCAATCTCCTTAAGCCTCTCAAGTTCCTCCTGTATGTTAAATCAAGAGATAATAGGCACCTCCAACTTACCCACCAGGAGTCATCTTTTGATCCATCTTTTAGCTAACGAACCAAACTATTAGAGCCCTAACTCCCTGAGTTGCAACATTAAATGAAGGCTCTCTGCTTAGTAGGTCAATATCAATAAATTCAGCCTGATTCAACTTTATGTTCCTTCTATTACTATCCCACATCCTCAATATCTATTCCAATGCATGTTCCCCAGATTTCTTCTTATATAAATTGGAAAATTCAAGTGGTTTTTTTGGAATGCAGTGCACCTCCTCATGGGTCATTACTTTGTACTTCACCTTTAGGGGTCTACTAGGGCTTAAGTCTACTTATAGGTTTAGAAGCAAAGAAGGGTGATGGGGGATAAGTCCTGAGAAGAATTTGAATTGTCTTGCTTGACAGCTGCTTTAGGGAATGTCACTACCATTTCCTCAGGCAATGCAAAGTCAATCCCCTCAGACAGAGGAGGAAAGACAGATGCTGCTGTGGGTAGGGGAGGCCACTGCTGCTAGGGGTGAAGAAGCAACTTCCACTGGCTTCAAAGCCTCATGCAAATTTAGGAGCTCAATGTCCCCAGCTTCATCAGTCTTCCCACACATCCACATCCAAAATTACAGGATCCCATTCATTCCCAATCAGTGCTCTCACTTAAACAGTAAATACTCTGCAAGACTGGGAGTTCAACCTTTATTGTAATTCAGCCAATTATATGATGAAAATTTGTATTTGATTTTTAGCAATTTAAGCCCTGTGACTACAGGACATAGGATTCTCCCTCAGGATACACCTAGAAACTCTTAGGTCATGTATGCATTGCTTGAGCCTAGAATTTGAATCTCTGAGCTCATCCTTTTCTTTCATCACTTTGTCCAGTGACATTAGGAGCAACCAACCAATATTATTGTACCCCTTAGTTTTCCACAAATGTTTGAAAGTATCATATACAGAGTCACTAAGTTCTTTGCCCTCTTACAAGTGGTTAATTATGTGTATCCAATGCAGACATTTTGATTATCTCTACAACGAGTTAATGCCATGGACTATCATATCAGTGCTTTCTGTACTACTGGAAATAGAGTTTTTAGCATACTTAAGTCTAGTCAGATTAAAGAGTCAATTCCCCAAACCCAAAAACTGATTCAGGAGACTAATCCTTAAACTTCTCTTCCTCGGGCCAGGCATGGTGGCTCACGCCTGTAATCCCAGCACTTTGGGAGGCCGAGGCATGGATCACCTGAGGTCAGGAGTTCAAGACCAGCCTGGTCAACATGGTGAAACCCCATGTCTACTAAATATACAAAAATTAGCTGGTGTGGTAGTGGGTGCCTGTAATCTCAGCTACTTGGAAGGCTGAGGCAGGAGAATCACTTGAACCCAGGAGGAGGAGGTTGCAGTGAGCCAAGATCGTGCCATTGTGCTCCAGCCTAGGCAACAAAAGCAAAACTTTTGTTTTGGGAGGCTGTCTCAGCCTCCCAAGTAGGTGAAACTACAAGTGCGTGCCACCACACCCAGCTAATTTTTGTATTTTTAGTAGAGATGGGGTTTCACCATATTGGCCAGGATGGTCTCAATCTCTTGACCTTGTGATCTGCCCACCTCGGCTTCCCAAAGTGCTTGGATTACAGGCATGAGCCACCATGCCTCGCCAAGGAGCGATTTAACAGGGGAATTGGCTCATATGATTACAGAGGCTGAGAAGTCCCACAATACGCTGCATATAAGCTGGATAACCAGGGAAGCTGGCAGTTTGGCTTAGTCCAAGTCTGAATGTTTGAGGACCAGGGGAGCCAATGTAACTCTCAGTCTGAGGCCAAAAACTCGAGAACACAGGGAATCACTGGTATAAGTCCCGGAGTCTGAAGACAAGAGAATCTGGAGTTCTGATGTTCAAGGACAAAAGAAGATGGGTGTCCCAGCTCTGGGGGAGAGAGAGAGAGAGATAGCAAGTTCGCATTTTCTCTTTTTGTTGTTGTTGTTCTAGCTGGGGCTCCGATGATTGGATGGTACCTGCCCATATTGGGTAAGGGCAGATCTTCTTTACTCAGTCCACTGATTCAAAGGCAAATCTCTTCCTGAAACAGCCTCACAGACAAATCCAGAAGTAATGCTCTACCAGCTATCTGGATGTCCTTTAATCCAGTCAAGTTGACACCTAAAATTAACCATCACAATATGTCAAACAGCACTTTAGTAAGTTGAGTATCTATTCTATTTCTAGTGACCCAGTGATCAATTAGCCATTGCCACAGATTCACGTGGGTCAAAACACTCAGATTACCATTCAGTTGCTGTGTGCTACTGTGATAACAATCCCTATCTTGTCCACCTGACCTTTACCACTCTGGGATCCCATTATTTCTATCTGAGGTCAGGGGACCTAATTTTATTACAGTATCTCTTACCATTATTTCTGGCCTTTAGAGTATAGCCACCATTGAGTTTATCAAAGATGCAAGTGCTCCACTTGCCAATGCATATTTTTATTAATATTTTTCTATTTTGAAACAATTACAAGTATACAGAAAACTTATGGAAAAGTGGTAGATACAAATGACATTTTTTCTGGAACCTTTTTAGAATAAATTGCCAACCTGCTGCTCATTCACTTCCAAATACTTAAATGTGTATTTCTGACAAACAAGGACATTCTCTCATATAATCACAAGTCAACCATCAGTATCAGGAAATTAACACTGCTACATTATCACCATGTAATCCTCAGACCCCATTCAAGTTGTGACAATTGCCCATCAGAGTAAAAGGATTCAAGACAGAATTATAAATTGCATTAAGTTGTAATGTACCTTTAGTCCCCGTTAGTCTGGAATGTTTCCTCAATCTTTCCTTAACTTTTATAATCTTGAAACTTGTGAACATTACAGTTATTTTGGAGACTATCCATGAATTTGAATTATTCTAATATTTCTTCATGATTAAATTCATGTTATGTATCTCTGGTGGCTTTGTAATATTTGTCAACTGCATTTTCCAGAATTCTTTTTTCTCTATGCTTCTTGTTAGAGTGGGCCACAAAAGATTCCTGTGAGAGATTTGGAGGATGGAAGTGAAGCAATAGCCATTTTGTAGCCCACATATTTGCTGCTTATCTGCTGGCTCACCTTCTTTGTGTGGAGCACATCTGGGCCTACAACTGCTCCACCTTCCCCTAGGTCCTCCTTCAAGTCCTTCTACTCCTGAGCCAGGTATGTGTTTAACTCCCAGGTGAAGGGCCTGGCTTCTGCAGGATCTCCACACTACTAAAGTTAGAGGCAACAAGAACTGCCAGGTTGGGCTCATGTATTGCAGCTTGTCTTTGTTCTCCCCTACTTTACATTTATCTTTCCCTTCCAATTGCCTGGCCTATGGACTTCAACCTCCATCATCAGATATGAGAACAACAGCTTTTCGTAGACTACTTAATCATCTCCCACAATAGTAGATGATCAAATATCTGTAACAAATTCCTTGTGACTGCTTCTCTCATGGAACCCTGACTGATGGAGCATCTGTTTTAGGCTGTTCTTGTGTTGCTATAAAGAAATACCTAGGCCCGGCCAGGCGCGGTGGCTCACGCCTGTAATCCCAGCACTTTGGGAGGCCGAGGCGGGTGGATCACGAGGTCAAGAGATCGCAACCATCCTGGTCAACGTGGTGAAACCCCGTCTCTACTAAAAATACAAAAAATTAGCTGGGCATGGTGGCGTGTGCCTGTAATCCCAGCTACTCAGGAGGCTGAGGCGGGAGAATTGCCTGAACCCAGGAGGCGGAGGTTGCGGTGAGCCAAGATCGCGCCATTGCACTCCAGCCTGGGTAACGAGAGCGAAACTCCGTCTCAAAAAAAAAAAAAAAAAAAAAAAAAAAAA